ATTTTTTCAAAGCAAAAAAAATAAAATTAAATTAAATTGAATACAATAAAATAAAATAAAATAAAATAAAATAAAATAAAATAAAATAAAATAAAATAAAATAAAATAAAATAAAATAAAATAAAATAAAATAAAATAAAATAAAATAAAATAAAATAAAATAAAATAAATTAAAATAAAAAAAAACTAATAATAATCCCATTATCGTTTGGCATTCCGATGTTCCAACTATACAGCGTTTTAATTGTTCTTGCTGCAAAGTGGCCCACATAAAAACCAAACTGTTTCTCCGAGCGGGTGCTGATGTTACCCTTCACTGCATATGCATCTGCACTGCATCTAGGGTGCACTGTGTATCAAAATAAGATACGTGGAATTCCGGCTTTAGTTCTCAGTTGATAATATTGAGGTATTTTCGGACTAGTTCGTGTATAGTTGAGGCAGTTCAGCAAATTGCCCAGCCTATCACATTAGTATCTTTCTCATTTTTCTTTCATTTTCTTTCTTGAACATTTTTTCAACGTTCGCACTAGTTTCCGTATTTGTGTATGTATGCATCTATGCCACTGTAGATTAGCTTGTGTTACATCATGCTAGGGCAGTTTAGTGAAGGCAATCTATGATCGTAGACAAATGAAGTTTTCAAAGAACAACAATAATAAGAAGTAAGTTCCATTAAGGAAATCGATTTCCGTCTTCTTCAGTTTGTCATTAGGAAAAAGTGGCAAGAGAGAGCTGAGAGCTGTTCTTGTTATCATCACCTAGTTAGTAGTGTTTGTATATATGTAACAGTATATATGCATGTAATTATAAATGTGCATTTGTGTAAGCCTCACGCTCTTCAATTTAATTAAACTAATTGTTGCAATGGAATACGTTTTTATACAAACATATTTCATAGTAAGCATATTCAAGAAATAATCATAAATATTTGCTTTGATGTAGTATTGTTACTCATTTCTTTTGTTTGTGAAATATTTAATTAATGTTGAAGAATAAGCAATATATATAACCGTGCTGAGAGCGAAAACAAAAACAAATTGTTTAATGAAATTTCATCGAAAAATTATAATTTGACATTTCCCTGAAACGTATCAAACTATGAGCCAGTAAATTATGAGCTAATTTGTATTATTCTTAATGTAACAATAGGAAAATATATAAATAATACTTTAAATTGTTTATGCAGCAAAAAATAGTAGATAATTTGAAAGTGACTAAAGCTACATTTAACTGCCACAGGGCCGAAGACAGCTCATATTGATGTAGATTTACGACAGTTCAGTGTTTGCCGGTTTCCGAATGAAAGAAAAATAAATTTTTTTAATGCTTTCTTATCAATTAAATGCTTCATATTTACAAGTCGGATTCACCTATCAATTATTAAGATAACACATGTGTGAACGTACTTGTACATATGTATGTGGCTGCGACTGTGTCAAAACTTTTGAAATATTTCAACTACGATGCCATACCACCTCTGACGGTATTATAGCCGAAAGAAAGCATCTAAGAGCATAATATTTGATATTCTACACACGTATGTATACATAACAGTGCCATCCGATAATATCGAAATCTGAGAACTATGTGAAATAACCCCCACGCAATCAATATGTTTATTTGCAAGTTTAAATGTCTTTTTACGAGTTTAGGCGTTTGCACCGATATATGCCCAATTACCACCACTTAGCTTCACTGTTCCTCCACTTCGTTTTCTTAGTTATCTTGACGTCGGTCAGCTTAGACAGATCGTCGAGGGAGGCAGTACCCAGATTTCAGAGCCAAGCTCTATATGAGCGAACGTTTCATTCCATTCTCTCCTCAGTCTTTTTGCATAGCACACAATACAGCAGTCACACGTCACGACTCCTATTTCCTCCATGCAAGTCGCAGAACGACAGTTTGGACCCAAGTGAAGATGAATAGTTTGCTCTGTTTGAGCATCTTCTGTTGAGATCGGCAACAGTCAAACACACTTTTTGAGTTGGTTTTAAATATATATACTATTTGTGTACTTTCACGTGCGTTCGACTGTATATTCAGCCTTCATAATGACTAAAATTTTGGCTTCGAAAGCTGTGCAGCCGACTATAGCGTCGAAGATGTCGTTCCATTGTTTTTTATATCATTGAACAGCTGAAGCGATTTTCAAACATCTGCGGCCTAAGGACTGCTAGTTTTAACGGGAACCCGTCGAAGCGCTGTACCAAAATTCAAGAAAGGTTGACAGTAGAGTTGATAACGAATTGGGACTGAGTAAGTCTTTCAACATCACAATAATATGATACATACGTGTACAATAAGAATTGCTTTGACCCAACAAAAAGAGGAAGAAACGCTCAACTGGCAGGCACATGCTCCACCTATGCGCAAGGACCGGGAATAAATATAAGTATTATTCATTACATTTCATTTTATTCACATTATTTCATGACTTTTTTGAATTATTTTGGCTTAGAGACTTTTATTGAATGATTTTTCTAACTTGCCCTGTAAGCTTTGAGCCACTTAAAGCTTGGAAAATTGCCGTGCTTGAAAACATGAAAGGCTAAATTAACAAATAAATACCAGAAAAGGCACACAAATTGTGATATGGGCCACGGGGCCAAATTGTAATTATTAAAACTCAAAAAAAAAAAAAAAAAAAAAAAAAAAAAAATAGAAACGAGGGTAACACAAAAGCTATTCGCTTCTAGTCATAAAGCATGTGGGACCAATTGAGCAGAGAACTTTAGTTGTGCTTTTTTCCCCACTTATCTAATATAATAAAGACATAAAGAAGTATAAATTGCCGCAATACAGATATGGAAATAGAAACAAAGGAAATTGTGAAAAAGGATAACTGCATGGGAATCTAGCATAAATAAGGAGAGATTATATAATAGAGAGTAGAAAATAATATCATTTGACATGTTTGGATTTATGAATCCCTTTGTTTTTATTTATTTTCTATTTTTCCTAATAAATGTAGGTATTTTTTTCGTTCGTTTTGTTGTAGTAGTAATTGGAGCGCACTGTAATCGTTGTGGGTGGTGGGTTGTTGGTTTGTTTGGTTGGATGAATACGAACGATAAAATAACAACAATAAACGGGCTTGGAATGCCACAGCAACCGTAAATGTAGACAACAAATATCTGATCAAATGTGGGGTAGCACCAAATATTATTTATATAAATCGGTAAACGTTTCTATGCTCTTAATATTCCAGCCGCTCGCAAAAGCACTCATATTCGTATGAACTTGTATGGAAACTTAAAGCTGGCCAGGACGAAAGGGAAAGTAGTTAATATGTATGTAGGCAGCAAAAAGGGGAAACTTTTATTATGCTTCTGCTAAATTGTGCTCTTTCTTATACGAGTACATGCATATTTATACATATGTACGTGGATATGCATGTGTTTTTTGTGTGGACTCGTATTTGTAATAAAGAAAAATAGTTCTTTGTCTGTTTTCCTTTATTTTGCTTGTAAAGGACTCTAGCATTCAATGGATATTTCTCCTTTTGTGCTGAAGCTTCTGTGATTGGTTTGCTACTAGTGAAGTTGCTTTGCAAAAATGTTGCCGATATGGCATTTCTTGGAAGCGAAAATATTAAATTTTGTTTCATTCAAGGGATTAAGATCTTTTTGCAAGAAAAATTGCTGTTAATGATTTATTTCTTGTTCTTGAAGTTTTTTCCAGCAAAGGAATAATCTTGATAATCACATAAACATATATACATATATATTAACTTAGCAATGAATCAACTGATCTCTTTTTCAGGAAATAAGAATCATAAATAAATATTTAATCAGTAAAGAAAAAATAAGTTATTCACGCATAATTTTGTGTTTTCAACAAAAAAAAAAATATATATGTATATATAGGCGCCATTAGCTATTTGAATTAGTTGCATTACAATTTTCTAAAATTGCTTAAAATTTAATGCATAAAATTCCTGTATAAAACCAATTTTTGGCAATGTGTTAAACGAATCGTAATTATAAGAATTGCCTTGTTTGATTTCCAATTAATTTTTCCTTTATTCGATAATATTGATTGGCAAGCTTTGATCAATCGAATTTCTTTACTTTCCAAAAACAAAGGTAATTCGTAATTAAATCAATATAACATTCAATCGTAATCTGCTCATGATTGGCATTTATTGAAAGCAAAAGCAATTAATCGTTTATTAATTAATCGTAAAAAGTAGTCGAATCACCTAATGCTCTCCTTAAATAAAATAAAGTTAGTCGATAAAAATCATTAAATTGTTAATAATTAATTGAAAATAATAAAAATAATTCTAATAATAATAATATAAATAATAATTTTTTGAACAATTATTAATCTGACGGGTCGTCTAATCATTTTTAAAATTGGTTTTTGGTTATAAAGGCGTCTCCAAAAAACACTTTCGTGAAATCAATCAAATTTTGCAAAATTTTGAGTTTGAGTAGAAGGAAAGCTCTTGATATATATAAGCCTTCAGTAAAAAATATAAAATATTTACAAAACAGTACTTTTTCGATTATGCCGGGAAATTGATTTAATCTAAAACTTTTAATTTTTTTCTGTTTTTTTAAATTGCCATTTTTAATAGCCATCAATCATATTCGTGAAATTCTTTGCGTAGCGAATAAATGATCCACACGTACATATAAGTAGTCTGATCAATATTATAGTAAAAACTTCATATTTTGACTTAGATAATGCTTAATCTCCTCAATACCAATTGGATTAAAAATTGGACCAAATACAGAAAATCAGAGCAACGTGTGGCTTTGCCTGCAAAATCATTGCATATCATGCAACCTCCTGTTATTCGATCTAATCCGGATCTATAAATTTAATTGAATTTTGAATCAAAAAATATTTGAAAAATTATTTGTTAAATTTAAATTTGTTAATCAGGAAAAAACTTGAAAACCCTGATTAGTCGCCCAATTGACACGCGATTTAATTTCATTTCACTTAACAGTCATATAAGGAAATTTTTTGAAAAAAATTAGACTTACCTTTTCTTCTCTCAATTATGTGTACATTCATAAGCAGCCTGATGTGTGAGTATTTTGTCGCGGAAAGCTTGATTTTTTTGTTATTTTTTATTTTTTGGTAGCAGGATAGCGAAATTGTGCAGCAGATTATTTACGAATATTATATTTATGTATGTATATAAATACTCCTTTATAACTTTTCAGTCCATTGACACACTCCTCAGAACTATTTTTAATTATTAGCTTCAACACATTTTACTTCTATTCCATTATTATTATTATTATTATTTTTTTTTTTTTTTTTGTAATTTAATGATTAGATTAGCGGGAAATGAGCTATTTCCATTATGTAAATATATATATTTCCTTTACATTAAAACGCACTTATTCGGTTGAAATTTGCATAGCCACATTTATTTCCAGCACATTTATTACGCCAGAGCTGAAAGTGACAAGAGAAAGAAAGGAAAATGTGAAATATTTTACATAAATTAATCCTATTTGAAATGCAGCAAACGAATGTAATTTAATCCCACTTGAAAAGTTTTAAGTCCCACAAAATAATAGTCGCAATGAAGCACACGAAGCGCGTGGAAATATGTAGGAAGAAAGCGTGGAGAATTATAATAATAATTACCACAATTGCTAGCCGAAACGATGGGCAAATGAAGGGAAAAAAAGGTCTGAAAATGAATACATACGTATATAAGTGTAGTATATAAAAGTAAGAAAAAGTCCGACTTCCCGTGAAGGTGTTAAAGGATAAAATGTACATATTCTTCTACACAAATATGCATAATGATCAAAGAAGTTGATTATATAAATCCTAAAGGATATGATATCCATTTTAAGACATGATTGCAAGCGCCGTAGTTTGGGACATTTTTGCATAGAAATTAGAAATTCTCAATACAACAAAGACTTCTTGAATGCAAAGGAAAAACTTTAATTTTAATATTACCCAATACTGGGAAACAACGGAAGAAAGAAAAGAATACAGAAACAAATTAATAAAAGAAAATTAGAAACTAAAGTGAATGAAAATAAAATAAAATAAAATAAAATAAAATAAAATAAAATAAAATAAAATAAAATAAAATAAAATAAAATAAAATAAAATAAAATAAAATAAAATAAAATAAAATAAAATAAAATAAAATAAAATAAAATAAAATAAAATAAAATAAAATAAAATAAAATAAATACACCCAATTCCCCGACATTATCCGTGCGTATTTATATGCACTTTTTTTTGTTATATACCGAAAACGATTTGTATTGGCTACTTCAAAAATAAATAAAAATCAGCCTTACAGAATTTTTACCTAAACTTGACAATGAAAATAGACACGTGTTTACATGTCTGTTTATATGTACCATATGTATCTGTTTGGGTAGGTGAAACCACAAATATAAATCAAAATCCCACGTTTTTACGGATTGCCTTCTGCTCAACTTACTGCTGTCATTCAACTAGACATTTACATTATGTTAATTTTAATCGCTTGGGATACCAACAACATTTGGTAGTTTACAAAAAAAAAAAATGAAAAGTTGAAAAACAATTGTCTGTGAATATGTGTATATACAAGGTATAAATCTATGGATACTCGAGAGTATGTGCGAGTACAAAGCTACGTAAATATGTATATGCATTAAATATGTGAACCATAAAATATTTGCATGTAAATATGTTGCCCTTGTCTCCTCAAATGCTTAAGCCCAACTAGACAGACAGACAAACAGACGGACGGAAGAATTGTGTGTGGTCTGTACTGAAGACTCCCTACAATAGAGGAACACGCCTAAGTTGCGAGCAGGGAAAGAGAGCAACTAAAGTGGAAAATGTGAATGGACGTTTATAATTTCCCAAATATATATGTTTATGTGCGCATCGAAATATAATTGTATATATTCTTCATGGCATAGTGAAATACCAATTTTTCCCTTAGCTTAAAGAAAGGAAAGGAAAGACATACTATAATGGCTCGACCGCATACACAATGGAAGTCTGTCATGGATGTGGTTGGTGAAAGTGCGAGGAAGGTCAGCAGCAACAATTCCAGTAAATAAAATATAAACGTCCACACGTGCATACACACACACGCACATACGTATACCCCAATGTCCTGCCGTAAATCCTGGAAAGTTAAATTTACCGTTCGTGGATCTTTTCAACCGCCCCCACGCGGAGTTCGAGTAAACAGTTCACGGCTCAACTGCGCAGCAAACTGTTGTAGCACAAAAAAAAAAAGAGAGAAAAATAGGAAAATCAACTCGCTTTTTGGGTTGAGGTTAGTTTGAAGGATAACACACTTTCCTCGGACTCAAACGCTCTAACAATGCACCGAGCAAGTTGTCACTTTAAAATTGCACTTCTTTTGGAAACTAATTTTTTATGCTTTAAATATCTAATTTTCACTTGCCCTTCAACATGCTTTTGTAAGTCGGTAATTTTATTTATGTATGCTGAATTTTTTTTAGAAGAAGAAGAATCAACGGCTCACTTGACCAACGCACTGCCAAACTTAACTCGAAAACTACACCCGACGCACTGACGTGTTCCTGTCAACTGACCAAAATGTTACAGCCGAAAAGATATAAGTTCCAGCAGTAAAGCTTCGGCCGAGCATAAGCGAGGCAGTAAGTGCGCGAGTAACGGAAATAAAGAGACAGAGAGTGAGAGACAGGCAGAGAGCGAGACGAGAAAGCCTTTCGTTCGAGAGAAAATAGCGCAGGAGTAAGGATATGTAGCTCTTAAGAGCAATTAGCTACTAAAGTCTCACAAAAAGGTTAAAAATTTCATTTACTTACTTAAATCCTTATGCCGCAAATGATGCGCTCTTTTTGCCACACTTTCTCAATTAAACGCCAATTTCACTATGAATTCGTATAAAAACAGAAAATTAAGAGCGAAAAACGAGCAGCCATCGTACTTTTCTGCTACAATTGTGCATTTACTCGAACTTTCCAGGCATTACCACAAACCACATACCACATACACATGCACATACACGCACTGTTAACTGTAGTACGAACAGCGTACCTTTGAGGACTGCCCGCTGCGGAAGGAGTGCACCTCAACCGGGCAAGTCCTCCACAGTCTGGGCTTTACCATTGTTGTAGAACGCACATCACAGCTCAATTTCTCTGCTTTGCTTTTCACATACAAAACACATACAACGATAGCAATGTTTGGAGGTAGGAGCAACGCTTCTTTCCAGCCTCCTTTGCTGTGGCGCTTCACCAAAGGCTGCCGCTGCTTCCTTTTTTGAGTGCGCGCTTACGATGCGCACGAATTGTTTGAATTCCATTTTCTTCTTGAACGATTTTGGTGCTCAGCGGCAGCTTGTTTTTATTTTGTTTGCTTTTTGTGCACGAAATTTTTCGTGAGAATGTTTTTGCACGCAAATTTGCCCTTTTTGTGCACGTCAATTAAGTTTACAAATTGTTTTAATTATAATCAAGAGAGAAATGTGTCAATTTTAATCAATTATTTTCCATTGATGGCGCCTTGTTTTGGAAATCAATTTTTTTCAGGAGGGAAGAGGGTACACCAACATGAAAGCCTAACTGTTGAATTTCACTAAATACGCATTTGGCGTGAAAAGCAACTTGGTTTTGTTTTCAACACTTCTGGGATTCTAAAATCATCGGCGGTTTGAGCTAACTTGCATTAAAAGGGTTGTTGTGCCTTTCACCTGCAATTCACAGGTTGAATGGACTTTAAATGAAGATGTTATTATCATGAACAAATTCATTGTATGTGGAGTATATGCATGGAGGTTTTTTTCGGGTTTGAGTATGAATCAGCTGCGGTGCCCAGAACTTATTTGTACCCTGCTGAAGGTGGTGGCTGGATTCCAATTGCATCATTCATAGGAAGAGAGCAAGTAATACCACTGACGGAATCTCTCCGTGAATGGCGTTAAAGATCGGGTCGGTCCTGTGGCCTTATACCTTATGGTATCGATAAGGTTTAGTACTTCCTGCTTGATGTGCCTCTGCAAGATTCATACATCCAATAGCATCCCACAATGCGAATTATGACATCATCACCACTAAGTACTTCTTTGCAGAGGGTGAAAATAGAATAAGTGGAAAGATCCAACAGATAACCAAAGTTTTCTAACGTCTCACTCATGCCTGCCTTCCATCTTGTTCTACATGTGGTAAGACTTATTCACCAGGATGCCTTTCTTTCTTGAAGAGAGTTAGCACATCAGAATACAATTAATGCTATGAAAATTTCCTACTAAAGAGCTGATCAAAAATTTGAAAATGATTACTTGGGAAAATAAAGTATTATGAAATAGATCTTAAGGAACTAAATATTTACAAGAGGGAGGTTTGTCGGATTTGAAGATTTTATTTTGATTTTTTTTTGATTTTAGAAAAATGGTTAAAATAAATAAATTAAGAGAATGAGAGTAATCAAATGAAGTCACTTCAAATGACTCAATTTTTTTTTGTAAAAGAACTTAATGAAATAATTATGCACATAAGGTTGCACGTACGACCATCAAAAAAAATTTTTTGAGATATCAGCCCAAAAAAATATTTTTTTGGTCTGATAAAATCTCGAAAAACAATGCGTAAGTCTTTAGTCAATAATTACTTTTTCTGAAAGTTTTTTTTTGATTATTTATAGTAACTTAATTTGAAAATCCCTCCGGCATCCCATTATATTTTTTATCAAAATTAGAACACACAATTAGACTCCATTTCCATTAGTGAAAAGAAACCTATAAAATTCTTAATTTATAAAAGTAAAATAGCATTTTTACGACCTTCTCTGTTTGCTTTATACAGACGAATTCAAATATTTTCCTTTGGACCAAAACAATTTTATACCAAAAAATCAGGCAACTGTAAGCTGCTTTGTGCTTCAGCGCTTATTTATTGTACAACGTCACCCACATTTGGACAAACAGTTGAACAAACTATTTACACATAAACTTCCTGCACTTAAACACATGCCCACATACACACGCACACACATACACGTGGGTATGTAGAAGTCGAATTGTTTGTTGCAATAAAATTTGACATTTTCTGCAATTTTCCGTACAAAAATATTTATGCTCACACAGGCAGACAGAGAGAGAATAAAGAAAGACCGAAAGAAGCTCAAGTTTATTTTATTAATAGGTTTGCCTGCCTGTACAAATAAATACTCGTAGATGTTATTTGCTTGTATGTATGTATGTATGTATGTTGGTCTGTTTGTTGAAATGAGAAAATAGAAGAAAATCCATTAACGAAGAAAAGAAAAATCAAAATTTATTGGAATTGCCGCTGATGCGTCTAAGGCATTTATGTAAAACACAAACAGACAGGCACACATATACATACATACATATATACTATAGTTTGGTTTGAGAACAAAGCCGAAAGCATGAGGGCGAGACAAGTTTAAAGTCAAAAAAGAAAAGAAAAAAATTGAAAATATGAACCTTTCTACAAAATTATGGATCTTTTAAAAAATTCAAAATTTGGAAAAACTCAATTTTTTTTAAAATAAATTATACAAAAGAAATGACGAAAATCAAATAAGTAAAAAATTCTATAAAACAGTATTTGTAAAAAAAAGAAAAATTTTTAAAAAAGATTCAAGAAGATTAAAAATGCATAATAGAAAAGCAATTCTGGAAAAAACTCTTAAAAAATGGCAAACTATATGTAAAAGTTAATTAAAAAACAATTTCACAAAAAGCTTGTAATGAAAAAATTGTATAATAGGAATCATAAACTTTATATAGAAAATTATTAATGGAAAATACTTTTAAAAAATTAAAAAAAAAAATAAATACTTCCTTAGTATAAATAAAGTTAAAACCACATTATAAATATCCTTATAATAAAAACGCAATTTCAAGGATATATAAAACAAAAACTAATGAAAAAAAATTAGAAAAAATGCGAAAAAAAGTTAAAAGCAAAAAAAAAAATATTCATAAAATAAAAAATTAAAATAATTTTATAGTAATAATAATTAACATAATAGTATATGTTTGAATGCAACCAGGGACGTTGTGGACGTTCAAAAGGCATGAACTCGAATCTCACAGTTGGTTTTTCCAATGTTTTTGCGTAAATCTCGAAAAAGTACCCACACCTTAAAGCAAAATCCCCTTCTTTCCTTTTCTCACGCGCTCTTTCTCTCTCTCTCTCTCTCTCTCTCTCTCTGTTTGTATTATTTTTTTGGGTTACCCAGAAAAAATCTGAGACAGAAAAAACTGATGGCATCATAACCGTGGCATCATGATGAGGATGCCAATAATAACACACATAAACGCATATACACATACACATACAACTATATATTTGATAAGTATTTGTGCTGCACTACGAAAATAAAACTAATAAATACACTTTGAGTACAAATGATACTCCTACAATGGCATGTCGTCCGTCTCATTATCAAGTTCAGAACGCCCGTACTCTGCTCCCAGAAACGACGGAGGGCGAGTGGGTGATTGGAGCGAGCAAAGCACTTGAACTACTCAGTCGCCCTCGTTATGTCACGTACATACATATATACGTAGATATGTATATACGTACACACATAGCCGCAAACATATGCGCACTCACTTCACTTCAGCATCTTCAGCTGTGCATTTGCTGACCTTAGACAAAACTCAGGTGCGTTGGATGGCTAAATATGAATGGGAATTGGCTGAGAGAGGAGCGCCTATGCGTATGAGGTCGAACATTTTGTTTTTGTGACATAAATTATTAAATCTTAGAGCACAAATAGGTTTGCACAGGCTGTGGGAAGTTGACAGCATTTGGGCGTATCTAATTAACAAATTGGCATTTGGTTGCTACTAAATGGTCCCTGGGAAGTTGAAAGATGCGAAAGGCCGAGCTTTATTATGGCAAAGATAAAATAAGCTTTTACGAGCTTGAGTTTATGTAAAGAGATATAATATTTGTTGTCCCGCCTTATCAGCAGCATTAAAAATTTAATATAAAAATAAACAAAAGAAAATTTGTGCTGCGGTGTTAGGGAAATCCTACAAAGCTGCATTGCTAATTTTTACAATATTTGCCTTGTTCAATTGGCTTGTACGCTGGTAATAATACATTCAGCATTAGTAAGCTGGAAAGGAGTCTATAACGAAATTCCAACACATAAAATCCAAAAATACGGGAACTCGAAATGCATAATACAGACACGATCAAAGCCTGACCGAACAGAAGCCAGTCGTACAATGTGTCCAGACAAGAAGTCCCGACGAACTCTGGTTTTTAAGGACACTACGCGCAGAGTTTTTTTTCATACAAATGTGTGTTTCAAAACTATTGCGCAGCTGTCCACTACACATACTGGTATCGAGTGTGAACAGGCTCTGATCCTCAGCTTTGTTACAGTTCTAGCCAGTCTATCTCGAGTACTTTAAGTGACTTTTACAAAAGAAAAAATAAGGCTGGTCAGAAAAGTTGATTTTTTTTTTGTCACATGAAAACTTGTAGTGTATTTTGAATTGGTGGTCCGGATTTCAAACAGTATTGTGCGACTGATTGAATAAAAATCGTATATTTCAAAATTATTCTACAACTCTGGTCCCCTTGGGCAGGTATACAACGATTCCAGCACATTTTCCATGCTTTGTAACATTCCTGGAGCGCTCCGACTGGGATATTCGCGAGTACCCTAGTCACGGCCGCCTGGATGTCCTCAATCAACTCAAAATGGGATACTTAGGCTACCGACTTTGTTTTAAAGAAAAAAAAGCCACAGGATGACATATCGGGCAAATAAGCCGGTTGTTGAAACACGGCGATCCCCCCTATTGACTCGTTTTCGTAATTTTTCGAGTATTTTGCGATAGTAGACTTGATTTACAGTTTGCTCCGTTGGAGGAAATTCATTGTAGACGATTCCACGGCTATCAAAAAGGCAATAGTTTTCTGCGACGGTCATTCGATGCTGCTTTTTCCATTTTCGTGACGAACGAAGCCGGGAGAACGAAAGGGTTGCAGGGTTGCCACAATCGCGGTAATATAATCAATCTCATTACCTAATTGCCACACCTCGTAAACCAATGTCGCCGTACCACTTGTACAACTCATTGTTCCATCGGCTACGGTATTCACCGTTGGCCATCCACTAAAGACCACAAATGTTACGCAAAGCCTTCCTCTATAAATCTCCCAACGGCGACTAATCAGAGAAGAATGAGAATATTGTAGATTCTGATCTTTGTCAATTTAAATAAGAATTGACTTTTCGATTGCCTGCTCAGTTAAAAGTAGCACAAGCAAGACTTACTCTACGTGATATTTCTAGGCTGACGTTGTTATTGGTGTTAATTCTAATTCCTAGATAGACAAAATTGTCTACCACTCTGAAGTTATGATTGTCAGAACCGTGTGAGCCGACTCGTGATTGCGATGATTGATAAAAGGAGATATCTCGTCTTGCCCTCATTCACTACCAAACCTACATCCTTCGCTTATTTATCTAGTCAGGAGAAAGCAGAACTCAAGTGCTGCCATATAAATTCAAGCCAACTACCAATTTAATAAATATATATATACATATATATGACTTTTTTTTTTTGATAAGAAGTCTTCACTAGAAAGATATTTTTGAAATCTTCTATTTCAAATAGATACAAAAACAAATAGAATATTAAATGTCAAGGATCCTAAAATAAACCACGATTGCCTTGAGTTTTTTGCTTAAGTTTTCACACTTTGCTTCTTATTGCGTGTGCATCTTAGCATAAAACTGTATTATTTAAGAGTCGCAGTCCGTTGGGGCGTATGAGTAACACAAAATTATTAAGCGAATGCAACGAGCCAGAAAGCCAGGAAATATAATTGCATTTCATGTCGGCGTTTCTTAGCTAAATTTTAAAAAATTTAAATTTATTTATCATACATATATAAATATGTACATATATAAATTATTGCTGCCAACCTGAACCTCATTTACTTAACAAAAATAGTTTTCATATTCGCTTTAACACTTCTTTTTTCATCTTTATATGTATGATTTACGAGCACAAAGCAAGTTTTACAAGAATTTTATTGCCCTGTACAGCCTATTTACCTACTCATTCGTTGCGTTCAGGACCTGCTGACATTTTTTAATCCCAATCATTTTCCGTTGCTTTTATTGTAGTTTTAGTCAAATTTATTTATTTTTCTTGCCGCACGCATTCGCTTCTTTATAATGCTTTCTTTCGAGGGGTTGAAAATTATTAATTTGCTATTATTGATTGATCGACTTTGTTCGGTTTTCATTCATTCAAATGATTGGTTTCTGGCTTGAGCTCACAAACTCGTACATATGTATGTATGTATATTTCACTTTGTTGGCTTTTTCTTTGACAAAATGTGCAATGTGTTGCTTGTTGTTGGTCAAAACCTGTTTAACAATAATATGAAGAATTTCTAAACTGATTATTTTCCGCCGAAAGGCATTCAATGAGATCATTTATTAAAAAAATTTTATTCCAAAAATAAGTAATTTTAATTCTCGAGTAAAAAATTATATTAAAGTTCACTTTATTTACTTCGGAAAAATTTGAAAAATATTTTCTTCCAACTTTTTAAGCAAACACTTTATAATATATATATATATATATATGCAGACATGCACACGCATAAAGACACCAAAAAACTTGTTTATCAGAAGAAAATTATAGCAAAAATTGTTTAGTTAAAAGAAAATAGGAACGTGTACGATGAATGAGTAGAATAGAGAATAAAACAAAAAATTAAAATTCGCTACACTTTTAAGCACATACATTCATATGCTATACACAAACACGCACATTTGCGTACATTCGCTAATGTCGCCCTTTTATTTGTCAGACAAATTGAATTTTTTCGATTTTTTTCGTTGCCACTGCCAATCGTTAAGTAGGCCTTCACACTTTTCTTTCGCATTTAATATAGCAATTGTTGACTTATTTTTACCTTTTTTCAGCACATTCTTAGACTCGTCACTGCTATGTGAAGAAGAAAGGAGGAAAATGTGTTCTATTATATATTTTCAAACTGTTTTCTTTTATTTATTTATATATAATATATATATATTTTTTTTTGAATAATCACATATAAGTATTTCACAAAATTTTCACAAATTTTCACACTTTTTCACTGCCCTTAGTATATAGACAAATATTTGACTTTGCCCCACTGCAGACACACTCACACATACACACGCGGGATATCTTTCCCTTTCGATGGATTGAAAACTCGTTTTTCTTCATTCGAGTTGCGCTTTTCAGCCAATTTTCATTTTTCAAGGCGAGACCATTTCATTCTGCACTTTCCTCTTCCTTTTCCTTAGTGCTTTTCTCAACAACAGCGCCAAGAAATATCTATGTTTTGTTAAATTTTTTTAATTATATTTTATTTTATACTACTGTATTTTTTTTTTGCTGGCTTTCTTTTGATATTTTCTTTTTTTTTGATATTTTTTCCTCTATGAGGAGCGCCCCTCTAAGCTTAATACTTTCGTTAGCGTAGCTGAACTCCACCGACGTCCGTTTGCAGCTGTGGCCGTTACTCCACTAAACTTGTGCATCTTCGCTCGGTGGTTGAAAAGTTTCCAAGCGCACATCGGCAATGCAGAAGCCGAACAAATTCAGTCGACGAGCAAGTAGCTTGTCGCTCTCATGTTAACTTTCGCAAATGCTCGCAAACGAGTTTTCACTTTGAGTAACCGAAAATTTGTGAGCATTTCCCTCCGCTCAGCTGTCTCCATGGAAATCACTTGTGTAGTTGTTTAGCTCTCCAGTTCTTTATTTTCTCTTCTATTCATTCTCTTGCTGATAATTTTCCTCTCTCTCCCTCCGCAAGCTTTTACGATTTTTCGGCTTTTTTCAGTGTCACAGTTGCTTGTTGTTTGTTGTGTTTTTCTTTTAATTATTTTGTCTCCCTTTTTCGTTTCTTTTCATTGTGGAATTTGTTCACTACATTTTTTTGCTTGAGTTTGTGTTTTTTTTCTAATTTGCACATTTCCTTCTGTTTTCTCCCAATTCCGTGTTTTGATAGCAAGGCGACGTGCTGGGAAGAATGCAGAGTGCCTAATTTCCGTTTGTTTTCATTTTCATCTATTCTCTTTTTTATCACTGTTTATCCACCTGGTTGAGCACTCATTTGCGGTTGAATTTATGTGCGCGCGTGTGTGTGATCATATGTGAATGTTAATTCATTGGCGTTTGTTATCATGTAAGTGGTAATGTTCTTGTGGCCTTACCGACACAGTGACAGTGGGGTAAGTAGGTACAAATTCTGAAAGAAAAACAATATTTTATTGCATCTTTCTTTTCCCCTTTATTATACAAGTTAACCGTTACCACGCAGAAATGCTGCTTGAGCTCTTGTAGCATCACTTTGACTCATTACGGCAACCCTAGGTGTAAATAGTCATATATAAGGCCTAGCCAACCAGCCAAGTCATCGGAAAAGTTAAATAACCATGAGGCCATGGTAACGGGTAACGCTCTTTATTTTAGCTTCTAAAACCCGGTAAAACCATTTATGGAGACGCAACCCAAAACACCCGGAACTTGCGATCAGACACCACCATATTTAATAAATAGCTAATGGAAAGTTTGGCCTCATCCGCCTTATTGTCCAGGTCCTGCCCCCTCTGCCTGAAATTTGTCACTGTCGATGGAATACGGTCTCCATTAGAGGAGAAACTCTCTTGTAAATAGGCTTCATTCATTATGATCCCAATACAAAAACGTCAAGGCTAATTAAAAATACTTGAGTGCCTGTTCGTTATGATATCGAAACCCAAGGCTGAGCTTTTGAATGGGAGGACTCAAGTATGATCGAAAGCTCACGACAAATGTGGTCAAAGATTAACTCAAGTTTCCTTCGATTATCATGGCATAGTGCATCGGACATTGGAGGTTGGGGAGGAGAAAAGCGAATTGGTGAGTGAGCTCAGGAACATAAGTAAATATTTTGGAATTAAAATGTAGAAATGAGTGTACAATCATAGGCTAGGAAAAGAGGGAGACACTTTATATATTTATTAAATGTATAAAATATTATTTGATACTTTCAATCCATACAGAGGAAATATATCTCAGCGGACAGACAGACATAGGATATGGCCCAATTAACTCATTTCGTAATTCTGATCACATCGTTCTAAGTTTTGATTTTTTTATCCCTTTCCTTTCTGGTATTTACATAGTTCCCACCACGGTTAATATACCAATTCATGTTCATGAAAGGTACAACAATAAATTTGAACTTTAAGCAAAAGAATCGCTTCTCCACGTCATCCTACGTGAATTGAAGTAAAAAACTTTCAACACTTGTGTAGTGTTCAACAAAACACGCCACCCTTTTTCGGCTGTAATTGCGAAAGCGAATATATATACATTTACGAACTTAGTCAAGTCAGAAACCATTTCATTTCTGTGACACCCTGTTGTAAGCACAAGGTGTTAAGAATGTTTGAAATCTTCTGGGTGCCTATGCTACTATTTTCTCTATCGAGTTTTGGCTTTGAATTTTATTTTTTTTTTTAACTTTTAAAACGGCTTTAATAATTGATTCGTCGTTATCGTAAATTGGCACGAAACATCATTTGAAAGGCGTTTGGATATTTTCAGTTGAAAATAATCGGTTTCGGTGTTTTTAAGTTAGTTAAGCTATTTCATATTTCTAAAAATAAAAACTCATCCAGATTTGCCAGCGCCCATTCACCAAAAGTTAGTCGCTGTGGTAAATGGTGAGGATACAGCTGCGATATTTTACTCTGTCCGCACTCTACGAATGCGTGTTGGTGATTCAATGCCCAATAATTTATATTTGGAGCGATATTCAGTTACAAGATTTCGAATAGCCGTCACAGAAAGTCGACCCAGCGAACCAAAACGGAACGATACACATTTTTAAGCCGATTAATGATTAAATTATAGACCAAAGTAAACAGTTTTGACAGTTATTTGCTCATAGTACCCCATACATCGATCATGTCTATCAAAGCGCAACTCTGAGGTGAGGCGCGACGAGACTCTTACTTCAGAGTTGTAATATTTGAGTAATGATTCCCTCAACTAAGTTTGGAGATTTAAAAAGTTGATGTACATAGGTTTTTTGATTGTTGTTGTTGTTGCTTAGACTGAGGGAAAGTGCAATAATCCTATAATGGCATTTGTCAACAATCTCCTTGCTTCATTCAACAATTATATATTTACTAAGCGCGTTTTGACTTCGCAGCTGCCATACACTGTAATCAAATTCAAACGAAAAAAAAAAAAATAGAAAAAGTGTCATGAGTTAATAAAAAGATTATGCTAAACCATAAAAATTCCCTAACTTGAATATGAAATTTGGGAAATCCCTTAATGCGACACATGGTAGGCCAACAATGTATGCCCTGTAGGGAAAAATACAATTTGTTAACCAAAATCCAACTAAAATAGTTTACATTTTTGCCTCCAGTAGTTAATCTCCCACCCATTTCCATAGAAGCGACTGTCTTTTTTAACATAGCGATCTCCTGCGAATTGTCAATTATCCGACTATGCATCAGGTTTATACTAGTTTCATACCACTTCATTTAGGCATGCTGACTTTCTGCTTCAGCAAAAAAAGAAGGAAAATGAAAATTAAAATAAATCTACCTCCACTATAGCGAGATTAGAACCAGCTTCGGGATGCTTTAGTGAGAATCGTCAACAGAAATATCAAAAATTAAAATTTAACTAAAGTAAGTAAGTGGCGGCCGCAATAGCCAAGTGGTTAGCATTGCGTACTGCTAATCGGTTCAAATCCTGGTGCGTCCAACATCCGAAAATTATAGAAAATTAAATTATATAAAAAATTAAGTTAAATTCTTATATTGCGGTCGACCCTCGGCAGGGGATGTCAAACCCTCCGAGTGTATTTCTAACAAGAAAATCGAAAGCTCCTCTTAAAAACCATCAGCACTTCGGGAGCGGCTTAGAATAAACTGAGACCTAGAGTCTATTTGTTGGAAAAGAGAAATCAAGACGCAAAACCACCGCAGCTAAACGAGAAATGATCAAACAGATCAGTTTATCTCCCACGCGGATACCTGGTCGTAAAAGCACCGAGGGGAACTTTAAAGTAGATTAACTTGCTCGGTATGGGACTATCAAGCAGTTACATCTGGATGCAAGATGGTTCTAAAGGATTTGAATGTTATCAGACCGGGCAAAGGTGAAATTAAACTACAATCTGCCGCAAATCCAGACAAACTTCGTCAAAATGCGGTATGTATTCTTTAAAAAGAGAGGCAATCTCTGCTTTGGCAGTGCTAAGTCTCGAAAATTTTGGAACCTACTGCTAATTGGTCTATCGAGATTTGCCGACGTCAAAGTTGTCGATTTAATGAGGTTCATTAGGGAATCGAAATGGTTGGAAAGCGAAGCATAAGAGTTAAGATTTTCTAGCACCCTTGCGTTGCTTATTCAGGCCTAGGAGTTGTCGATGCGCCAGACAACATAACCAGACCGGCTCGGACTGAAATCAGACGGGTGTAAGATCAGTATATTTAAGGGGTAATAGAAGAAAAAAGACAAGACTAATAGCATTCGTGAGCACGTTGATATAGGACACACATTGGATGGGTCGGTGTCGAGTCTAAATAAACTTAGGTTACTCTACAAGATTATCCACACGTTATTTTCTAGATTTGAAAAAGAATTTTGTGCACTCCTGGTGAATGCAGTTCGGTTTGCGAGTTCAAGTGGAGATGTACTTTCTCTTGAAATGCCAGACATTAATTTCTTCATCTATGTGTTGGTTGCGACTCTCAAAATAAACCACCCTGCCGACCTGGTTTGACCCTTGCCGTGAATGGGTGACACTCAACGATCGATAAGTGAAACAAAATTCGATTCGAAACTTTAAGCTTAAGCCATCTGGTTGGTGACTATGACTGTGACACGAGATTCCTAGAAAATGATTTCGGAAACTCATTTCTTGAGAGTTACGATTTCGGTGTTCTTAGCAAAATGTGAATCTTGGCATCACTGAGCAGGGCTGTATAATTAAGATCGCCATTAAAATTATATTGTAATTAATTCATCTGAATCTTCAGTCAGACTTAATAAGCGGCGCCAGTGGCGAACAACAAGTAAAAAAAAAAAGAATTAGAAACGAAAAACAAAAAAAAAAAAAACAAAAAAAAAAAACAAAAAGAAAAAAGTAACACCAAAACCTAATGAATATTCTAAGTTTCCAAACACATTTCAAAATAAATTTCTGCATGCCAGTTTGGAGGTTGAAAGGCCGAAAACTCGTACATCACAATGACTAATCTCCAGCTCAGTTCATTGCCACTTTAAGAGCAGCTCTTTGGTCTGTCGGTCTTCGCACTCTCGATTGCTTTGTGCAAAATATTTGCTACTGTAAAAAGAAGCCGGAATTCTTGAAATTTATGCCCACATTACGCAAATAAGTTCATTTATGCAAAAGAAGAAAACGAGAAGAAAACGAGAAGAAAACACTTATTTCTATTTAGAACCTGTAGAAGAGAAGAATGACGTGGAGTCCATAGCGG